TTCAGATCTAAATATTTGTATGCATGAATGTTAACATCTAAGAGTCTACCTCACACCAATGAACCTTCGTGCACTTTCTACCTATGTGTCAATGTTCTGCGTCTAAAATCACAGCGTTGCCCACTCGCAATCCCTGAGCGCGTACTTAAGAGCCCGTCACTTACTATACGCAACGATGTGTGTAATTGATCACAGCTGAAAAATCAACTAATTGCTTGAAGAAAAGGTTGCTATGCACCGGGGGATACTGAGGGGGCAGTGTGGCAGTCAGTGTGTTTAGTCTATGGGCAGGTGTTGAGATTGCAGTCTGTAGCTACATTGTACATGTACATGTATGTACATACAATGTATTCATGTTTGCTGTTCTGCACTAGTATCTGCTCCACGCACAAGCACCCCCTCAACGGTGAGAAAGGGAGAGTTTGGGGAGACCACTTGGGGTGACATTTGAACACATTACCGACGGCGCTTAATGGCACTCATGCGAACACACTATGGCTATGTGCACAAACTAGTCTTGATTTTTACAGCATCTACAAACACAAAGCTTTTAACAAGTCAGTGTAACAATACCGGTAGTTACTATACTAAAACATAAGAGTGCCAACCACAGGTTAACAAAGAAAGGCATTATGTGGAATATTAACAGTACTCAATTAATCATTTTCCTTGGTATTGAACCAAGTACCGTGCATGTTTGTGATGTACTGGTAGGCTACATTTATGTAAAATCTATAAAAAGCTATAGATGGCAATGTGTAGCCTACTCATGAGAGTCATGGAAGGACGTCATGCGCAAGTGTCGCACAGAAGATGCAACCAATTAGCAACTGAATTCATACAAACCTGCTACATCTGTGCAGAGCAAAGCTCAGGCTAATGGCAACAATTGCAATAGTTAGTACCGAAGTGTGACGTCATTTTGAACCGGGAAGTATAGTGCAAACGAATGGAGTATGCGCGCGTGTTGGTTCATTGGCTGAATCACACGCTAATGTCTTTTACACACATAATTGTGATGTACAATGTATTCACTTCGGTACTCTATGCCATTATGTTTCCATTTATACATGTGCATGTACTCATGAATAATGCTGAAGGCATAATTACGTGTGGATTCTCGGTAGAGTCAGTTTTGCGAAACTTTCTAAGTTTACCAATAGGCATGCGACACAATGATGCCATGATTTGTTTACATGTGTGCTTTGAGTTTCCTATGCCTGCTGGTTGGCTTTCCTCCCCACCTGGCTCCCATGTACGAAAGTGAATGTACACGTAAACAAAGCAAAACGTCATTATATCTCAGAGGTATTACAAGATGAACAGTCCAATATCATTATCTGAATTAAAACTATTTTGAAATGATGCGAGAAAAATTATCCACACGGCACTGCATAACACCAGAATTGGTAACTATTTATTGTCAATTGATGTCAAATGCTCAACATCATCAGACAAACAGGTCGGAATCAATGGAGTTTGAAGAGTTTTTGATTTAGCATTTCGAGACAGTTCGACCGCACTCAATCCCCAGGAACACTCTAGATGTCCATTACTCCAGGAAACTCCATTCCTTGAGACACACGGATCTCTTCCTAATCTCGTCAACCAGATGTTCTTCGCATCGCGTTACAGTTGCCCAGAAAGTAAAGCCATCCGGATGCAAATCATATTGATGTCTTACAGGGTTTGATATTTAACACACCGAAGAGCCCAGGCCCGGCATAGTTAGGATGCACCATAGCACATGACTCGCTTGACCCTGCGAGAGTCTATAAATAGTAAGCTGAATTCTGTATCTCTTTACACAGGAAAACTTAACTAGATGAACATGCAATGGAACATATATTGCTTATATCATGTCAATAACCAGGGGTGTGAGTGACCACTGATAAAAATAGCTGAAAACAGCTGAAAAAGGTGTAAAAAGGCTGAACTTTTGGAAATCTCCTATACTTTTGTACACAGCAAGTGAGGGAAAAAAGCTGAAATCCAAAACAAAACAAAAGCTGAAATCAGCTTTAAAGCTGAGATTTCACACCCCTGAATAACATTAAAATGTTCTTTTCCCTGATGCAAAATTCTACCTTACAAGATGCATTAGTCAGGTGTGAGACTGGGAAAAATGAAAAATCCTCAAAAAAAAATCGGCATAGGTTTGTGGGTCACCAAAGGCCCCAGAGTAGGTTTTATGGTATGTTCGTAATTTCCTAAAAGACACCCATTAGGCCTACATGTATAATACCAATTTCTTTTGTTTTATATAAATAGGCACAGACAAGAAAAGTGGAATTTTTGTATCAATTTCCAACAATGGTCGGGTGACCATCGTTCGAAAAAAAAAATTTGTTTGTTCATACTTTGCCAAATTCACCAAATTGCATGAATGGTTGCAAGCTTTTTAGTCTGGTTCCCTGACCTGACAATCTATAAACTGCTCCGTTTTGTCTGAAGTAGGGTCAGAGTACCAAACTACAAGAACAGTATTTGTTTCTTGGCTTTCCCAGCATTTATCAACACATAACTGTCAACTGTCAACAGGTCAGTGTATCAATATTTGCTATAAAATACCGGCACTAACCCCAAATCCATCCATTTCTGTAAATTACAGCAAAAGGAAATGTTGTATTTTCCCTTCAATGGTAAAACCTCAGGCATTCCAGATTTAAAAAGGGATTTTTTTTCATCAGGTTCTGTAATCAGGAAAATTCCTAAAAAAAATTCAGTTTTGCTAAGTATTTTGAAAAAGAATGTGTCTAACAGGACAAATTATATTTTTTAAAATAAATACAAAACCAAAGTGACAAATTAAAAAGAATGTCAAAGGTCAGTTGACCTAAATTTGCATAAATGGGTCATCTATTAAAACCTGGCACTTTGGTTGCAAGACAACATGTAGTAATCACAGGGCTCTGTGATATAATCCACAGACTTGGGTCAAGTGCATGCACTCCATGCACAGCTGTCAGTAATTCACTTCCCTAGGCAAGCTGCAATGTCTGCTAATCCATTAGGCCCATACACCTGACACAGGCCGCCTTTACAGAGCACGTGAGTTGCACCAATGGCCCGCTCAAATTGTAATGAAAAGTGGATACCTGGAAAGCGGCGTCACAGTGATCGTAGAAAACTGACACACCGCTTGCGTCGCAGAGGATTTTGTAAACACTTGCATAAATCCTGGACAATTATTCATCGTGTAAATAATCCATGTGCACTGTAATGCATCCATGCAGAAATCACATCAGTTCAAAACCAGGAAGTACATTACAGCTTGTAATGAATGTCTGTGTCACACTACACGCATGGTTGCAACATGATCTCACTAGCTCCAAATGTACATGTAGTTTCTTTAGGGAAATTACATTTGTACATGTGTATTTGTATTCACTTGTCATAGTTCAGACATGGTCATTATCTGTGTGAAGTTTTATGGCAGTTTCTATTGACTCGTCATTGTAATCATGGTTTACTTCAGGGCCTGTATACAAAAGTATACAGTACAGATATGCACATACCGTTACATGCACATACATGTACAGCTCTATTAACGTTTTGACTCATGTTGTTGGGTTGGGTTACAAAATCCAAAACATTACAAATTACAAATCAGTACATTAGGCCAAGATAACAAACCTGTTTAGCATCCTGCTTTTTTTGACTTTTTGAAGAAAAAAAGGGAAGAGCCCCATCCTCCCCCCCCCAAAAAAAATGGCCGTCCGACCCATTTTCCAATACAACCGGCCGAGCTATTTTTCAATATGGCCACCAGTTTTTTTTTAAATGACTGTTACTTGGACTCAGGAAATGACATACCAGCTTTATATGGGCTAGATGCAACAGACAAAGAGGTCAAAATGATGTCACTGTAAAATTTATCATTTTTTCGTTTTTTTTTTCAATAATTTTTTTTTTTTAAAAAGGGGGCGGCCTTCAAAAAGGAAGCAGATGGGGACGCTAAATTTTTTTTTAGTTGGCCTTACATAAACATTTAGGTACAATCCCCTAATTGTTATACCACATATTGTGGGATTTGTGGCCACAGACTTGCATCCCAAAATTTAAGACAGCCAACGTGTTTTGCAATCTTATTGGTGAGTTCGCACCTGGGTGATGTTGCCCCACCATCTAATAAAACGACTAAAAAAATGAAGGGGCTTGGCCACCGATAATTGCCCTTGCCTTTAGCTCGAGCCATAATCGATGACCAGGCCTCTACCCGGTTTTAAACCAGACGTTTAAAACTGCTCCACTGCATTATTATTCCCTTATTAAATGTAATTGTGGTTAGACTGTACCAAAATCATTCAAAGCCATTCACCAAAGAGACAAAAGGCAATCAGATACAGTTGCGAAAGATTCTGATAAATTGAGCACAATTTAAAGGGACACTGGGTCCTGGAACAGCCCACTTGGGCTACAAAACGCGCTTTAAATGAGATGATGTTAATCGGAAATAACATTTAAAAGTAGGACATAAACATCCACACAACTATCCTTTCAACACTGGGCGTTTTTGTGCTATTCCTGTATTATGCGTGCGAGAACGAATTTCGGGGTCCACTTTTGCGACCCCATGAAATTGAGCTGTTTGGATGCTAGTTGTGGTTTCATTCGTAAAGTGTTCGCCTTTTGCGGACGTTGAAGAAACCACTTTTTTTGCATTGGTGATTGGTTACCGCTGTTCCCGAGACACACATCGTGTATATCATACACTGAGAATGACACAAAAACATATTCGTACTCCGTCGTGTCCGATGTAAACAAGCGGTTTTTTTCCGTCTTTTCTCGGGAACGGTAAGACATAAGGTTGGTTTCCTTTCAACCAGATGTTTGAAATAGGCTAAGTAACCAATCCAAAACATGACATTTTCGGGGATTTCAGGACCTACATGTAGTGCCCATTTAAATCTACGTTGGCCACTACTAAATTACGTCAAGGTAACATGAAAATATGTCATTGAAAAAATCAAAGAATGAATAACTTTTCAAAGACTAACCTTGAGGGCGTCCTGGTCGTACCAAATGAGCGCATGGTTCCGGGACAGCACCTTACAATCAAAGATGCCGTTATCAACCGTCGGTCTGGCTTTGGCCACTGACCGGCCAATCTTGACCGGCTCCTTGAGTGGTATCCGTCGCTCCTGAAAGGGGTGTGAGCTGGAGTGGCAGGTAAAGACAGCGATTGCCGTCATGATGACAGCGCATCACCGTCAGGGGGAGAGGGGGGTGACGTCGGGGGGGCCGAGGGGAACCGCTCGGAGGGTCAACCGCATTGACTGTAGTCGGTAGAATGGTGAATGTCTCCAGGAAAGTACACGTTATCTTGCTTTCGTTTCAGTTTGGGATGATGTGGATAGGACAGAGGTCGTGCTTTCATGAGTCCTTTGCTGTATGAGAATTAGTTGATTCTGAGCATCATCTGTATAAAATAAACATCCAGACACACATACATGTATGCTTAACATGATTGTTACTTCACTTACTTGACATGATCAGTTGAAGTTACACATGTACATGTGTATGAATCACACACGACAGAACATGTACAAGTCTGTACACAAACCAAACAGGTGCTTATGCATTATTTGTAAGCTGGTAAATCCTACCTCTGCTGAGGAGTTTGTTGACCAATCACCTTGCATGTGTCACTGCTCTGTACATACATCATGTAAGATGACATACATCATGGAAAATGTATGAATTTTCTAGATGATAGGAAGCTTTTTTCCCTGGGCCACCTCTTACCTGCTGCCAAACACATCAATTTTCACCTCACCTCGTGATTTCACCCGGAGCTGAAACAAGGAAGCCTCGGCAATGCAAATATTTTTAGGAGCACATTTTGGATGCACACATCGTGCAGAATTAAGTTGGAGGCAGCCGGTCAAATTGATTGAAGTGTCTGGAAGGCAGCGGTACGTTATACGCATGACATCGGCAACCATGACAACGCATGAGCCGGCCAATGATAGTGCAATACCTCATTATGAATATTTAATTTCTCGTGAATATTTAGTTTATTTCAATGGTTACTTCAAATATGTTTAAAGATTGATCATTGCAAAACAATCGTGCGCGATCTAGCGGTAAAAGTGTACTGTTTCAAACAAGAGTCCGAGGTTCGAATCTCGATGAAGTAAGTGACTGATTAATAAGTAGAAATAAAGGAAAGCAGAGGGTGAGAGTAGAGAAGGGAAAGTGGAGGAATTAACCATAAAGGATGCAACTTTTTGGCACTTGAAAAAAGTTTTGGCCAAGTACGGAATTCTTTCAATATCTTATAAATAGTCAAAACAAACAAACAGAAAACAAAACAAAAATGAATTCAGGGCTGAAAAAAGACTTTTAAAAACAGGAGTCTTAAAAGATTTGCCTATTTTACGGTTGGCTTAGATAAGGAACGTGTCCAGACGCCACTTCTTTGGTTGTGTACAAAGTCTATGGAGAAGTTTTTTCGGTTCCGTATTTTCCAATAAAATTGGAAATGGCTCAGTAGTCAGTACCAGATTCATTTCTTTCCAACCATGCCAACCACTTGTCATCAATTTTTGCGGTTATCCGTACTTTTAGGACCCTGTTCCTATAAAGGAAGTGAAAGACTCACCAAAACAGTTGACTAAATGACACTCAAAATTGACATTCTGATACGTCTTGGCACATCTGAACAATTGGCAATGACACCTTCTTGAATATCAGTAGGTTTAATTTTGTAGAAAGAGGGCAGGGCTTTGATTTTAGAAGGAAATTGAGGGGTAAAAGACGACGATGATGACCAGAAAACAGACTCAAAAACCAAAATGGCAAATGTGAAAGCTCGATGCAATGAAAGCTCGATGCTGATTGGCTGATAAAAAATAAACATCTTATTAATTTTTTTCAGCAGCCAATCAGCATCGGGCTTTCATTATGTAGCACTTTCCTTCGTGTTGTGAGAACTACAACATGCACATCTGACTGCAATAAAAGGTAGGAAAGTCACATTTCCTTTGACAGTGCTTTCAAAATTACAACTAAAATGAGTTTATATGAAGAAAAAAAGACTGCTTTAGCCTGCAATTTAAGTCATTTTGGTACCGGACAATCACCTGCAAAAGTCAGTTTTGAACAGAACTCGTAAAAAATAGAGGTGTCCTTAAGACAAGGATTACCATTTTTGCAGTGAATGGCCTTCATGACTGAGATAATCAGATGAAAAAAAGGGCCATCAGGATGCACAGATGCAACTAGCCCCATAAATGTGGCCAATTTATTGGACTACCTCCGTAAACATAGGCCACACTTCCACCATGTACAAAAACATGTCGAACTTTGTCAAATTTTGATTTTCACATTTAGGCTTAGTTTAGTTTATTTTTGCTTTAGAAGCATACTCACCCTCTTTATAGGTTAATCAGAAAGTGCTGCCTTTTCCGGATGTCTAGTTTTCATTAAATTTCATGTTGAAATTTTGATACGCAAACGTGTGCAAATGAAGCTGGAAATTTCACAAAAAATAGACATCTAGAAAAGGCACCACTTTCTGATTGGCCTATACAGAGGGTGAGTATGCTTCTTAAGCCAATAAAAAAAACCTGCAAATTAAGCTTAATTGTAAAAATCAAAATTTGACAAAGTTCAACATGTTTTTGTACACGGTGGAATTTTTCCCCATTCTTCCAAATACTAGACTAATACTACTCTTTCACTCATGTTCCATGGTTAATTGGGCATTCTTTCTGTTATTTTATCTTGTAAGTAAGTGTAGTTTTATTTTGAATTTTAATGAAATAATGAAAAACGCCTTAAAACGGACGGGTCAACTGCCACTGACATTGTGCATGCACGACCCCTGTCTTGCCTGTCATGCCTGTGCACTGTTCTGTGTGATTTTCACTCTCTGCAGCCGGGCGTTGACAAAATTCATGTTGGCTGTATCAACAGATCAAGGCCAAAGCAAACTTCTCCAACAAAATCACTAAAATCTGGAGAATGGAAATCCTACCTTACAATGTGGAAGGATATTGAAGGTCAACAGTTAACACGAGAGTGACATTTTTACTAGACAACTCGTCACAACTTCACTGGAGATTATTATCGTCGCCATGTTGATTTACTTCCGTAACCTTCGAGGTGGCCGAAAGAGGGCGTCATCCCAAGGCCAACCCTCTCATCGACAAGGATTACGCCACTGTATCACTAGCTACATAATGACGTCACAACACCTGCAAAACGGGTTGAAGTATATCTATAGCACATAAATCGCAATCTCTATTATTATCCTGAGACTTTTTCTCATCCTCTCTTTTATTCTGCCTTTTGTTCTTGCCACTTGGCCCATGTCTAGAAGTACTACCTCGATCCATGCTTGGCCCTTCACTCGTACCCCCGCCCTGCGAACAGGGCGGGGGGTACGAGCGAAGCTTGGCCCAAGACCTCGGTCAAGAGCGAGTAGAGGGCGCTTTCGACAATCCGAATCAAAATACATTCCTTGGAACTCAGTCGCAGACTATACCATGGCGATAAAGGGGATCGGACTGGGCTCCGTGGAGAAACGGGTGACAGCTTCTTTGCATAAATTGGGATCCAAGAAGTTCCAAATATACTGGTACCTATTAAGCACGCGCAGTACTCGCGAATGAGGTACGCTCATGATTTCTCGAGTCTTGAGCTAAATTTCCCATGGTTGGGGCAAATGTTTTGAAATGATAAATCGAACAAAAAATTATCCCACAATAATTCGAAATTTGCAAAGTTATTATTATTACGAGAAATGGAACCATATAGGAAGCCATTCCCATAGAGTTGTGCACAATTTGTTTTCCAATTTTAATGATCCCTGACCCCAATGCCCTTATCCTATACCCCCACGATTTTTGCATATTTGTGTTTGGGACCACGAGCAATCGATCTAGGCTATTTACGACGATAAAATGTCTCTTCTAAATTGTAGAGGTTGTATGGGAGACATTAAATGTGTTTCCCTGAAGTATAACTTGTGACGAAAAGAATTCTCATAAATTTGATGGAATAATTACATGCAGTTTACAAATTTCGACTTATTAGCGTCCCAGCAAGCACCGGGAACTCTTGCACAGCGGATCAGGGGCTCAAAGGAGGGGGTAGCTCAGGCTCAAGCTGGGGGGAACAGGCATGTGCTTCTTTTTTTTTTGCACGGTTTCCCAACTTTTGCGGGCCGAGGGGTCCCCCCCCCCGGGTCGACCACCGCGGTTCTGTTGATGGGCAAAGGAATTCAAATCAAAAGCCCTTTTTAAAGATTTTTGCACTAGTGCCCAAAACAAAACAAAATGTAATTTTTTTTGGTCGTTAAAATAAAACTGCAACTGATGCGCACAGTACATCTTTACAGGGGCGGAGCCCTGACTGACCAATATTCATTAGGGGGGGGGGGGGGAATCCCGTAACATCATCACTCAATATTTCCTATCTTGATTATATGCCTCTGGCATTTGGTCATTTTATACGTTGACCGCGTTTCCTCATCGAAACCCCCACCACCTCTTTTTAAAATAAAATGGATCCTCCACTGAGCTATATCGGCGAGTGCAGCTTGTTTCGTATGAGGGGGAAAAATCCAGTCCAGCGAAAAATGGACTTCTTTCTCAGGAGCGTGGCGTAGCGGGGGGGGGGGGGGGGGGGAATTCCCAGTGCCCCCCGGTGCCCCCCTCCAAACCACCCCCCAAAAAATCGAATAGTGCGACTTGCCAAGGAAGTGTCTTTTTAAAGAATTTGTGTGAGTTGTTAAAACGAAGAGGAATCTATGCACGGCTTCATGAAAGATGAATAAATGAACAAAAAAAGCGCCCTCTAGCGTGAAAAGTGGTCCAGCCCCCTCCTTGCTTTTCGATTTGCATGCATAGAAAATTGCAGCAATAGCAAAATCATGTTGTACATGCCCTTCAATAATAACCATTTTATTGCATATCACTGAATATCTGCAGGCAAACGATAGGTGTATTTAAGTCCAACAAAGCGTTGTATAATTTATTGCCTGCCAGAAACTCGATATCTTAGTGAAGCGAAACGTTCTTTAATTACATGTATTAGTCTGTTGTCACAACACACCAGCGTTTCTAGGCAACTGTTTTCATGGCTGAGATGGATATAATTTTTAAAAAGTAATGGCATTGGTTCGGAGCTGTTTATATGGAACAAGTTGTGTATCACCATCACATAACAAAGTGGTAACATCTGACAATGATGTTGCCTAGACGCTTCGTCTTTGGCTTGATGAGCTTTTGTCTTGTGATCAAATGCACTGGTGGTAATGAGAGGTGTTTGGCCGCCATAAGAGGGGCCGCAGGGGTGTGTCCTTTTCCTTGGATCCAGTGGGGTGACAAATGCTACAAAGCCATCACGGAGCCTCTCACATGGTTCGAGGCAAAAGATGAGTGCATAAAGATGGGAGGTGTCTTGGTTGCACCGCAGTCTGATGAGGAAAATGATTTCCTCGAGAATCTCATGTCAACTCGCTTTTGGATCAACTGCAACGACCTTGACATCGAAGGCAAGTTGATATTAATTTTAGGCTTCCAAGTGGAATAGCTGAATTCAAACTAGGCCTCTTGCGATCAACACATAGCAATAATGGGCCTCTGGACAATGAAAGCAATAAAAGTTACAACAGAACAGTACATCAATTAAATGGAATGACATTCATTGAATTTGAATCTGAAATCTGAATTTCACTGTCTTGCTGCTCGACCCTCCATCATTCTGTCTGTCATTCAGATCAATGAATAGTGGTGCCAGTGTCCTCATGTCTGCAATAGCTCAGCGGACCATCCGTGTTCTTTGCCTCAAAAGGTCGAGCAGCAGGACAGTGAAAATGTGAACGTCTGTAATTCAGCTTCAAGTTTAACTACAGATTCGTGAAACACTGTCCAGTTAAGTTATGAATATTTTTATGAAAGAGCGAAGAATAACAAAATTAAATCTTTTTCAGTACAATACGTCATGAATTTAAAACCTTGCCAAGTTATCTGTGTTTAATCAAAGAATATCAAGGAGCGATTTGGTAAAATTTGAACCTATGGTTTCAAATTTAAAGAAAGAAACACTATTTTATGTGCCGCTAGGGGCGCCCTTCGGATGATGACGTCATCACACTGTTTTTTTTGTGTCTAGCATTCCTCACTAAACACTTTTATAATATATTTGTCTGTAGTAAAATGCTTCCGCAGTGAGTTTTATTCAGTTTTTATTGCACTTCCGGTAACACCGGTCAAGCGGTTTTGTGTCCGGGAACAAAAAATGTTTCTCACGGAATGGTCTACAACCTCACGAAAAAAACAACATGATACTCTTTTAGTTCAAAAGATATAGCACAAACTGTTTTGTCAAAATTTGGCCTTAAATCGCTGTAATTTGATACCTGATGACGTCATGATGACGTAACAAAATGTATAATATCTTCGTAACATGGTACAAGTTCACACACGTTTTTGTGATTGTACCGTAAACCGTTCGGAAGAAATTTTGCTTTGTTTTTATTTCAGGCTAACGTCTTCATTTTGAATTAACCTAACTTTGACCTTCCGGTAGACCCGAAAATAAAGGTCAAGTAAGTTTACGTACACGTTAAAAAATGTTAAGCAATTAATGGTCTATCTCAATGCACAATACAAACATCATTGATTATTTAGTTCAAGAGTTATAGGTGAAAGTAATTGGTCACTTTTCCATCTGAAATCACTTGTAATTTGACACCCGATGACGTAATCATGCAGAGTAATATGCACCACTTAGGATGAGGGTCGATATATATTGAAAGTTACAAGTTCCTATCATAAACCGTTTTAGAAGAAAACTCGCGGAAACGTGCTGTACGGAAAAAAGAAGAAAGATTTTTCAACACAATAACAGAGAGTGGTCGGGTTGTATTCAACAAAGAAGATTTATGAGAACAATATTCTAGTCAGTGGTCGGGTTGTGCCCGACCACTCAATAAATGTAATTGCATTCATATCCTGTTCTGTTGTTACTTTTATTTCCTTCATTGTGCGGAGGCCCATTGTTGCAATTATGTTGATAGCAAGAGGCCTATTATTCTGGACATTGTGTTGACAGTGTTTTCGGATAGTCACAAAAAAGACCTGTATTCTTTTCATGCATGGATACGGACATTTTACAGAATGTGGTCAATAGTGGACCAGCCAAAGTGGAATATTACACTTTGGACGGCATTTTTTGGTAATAGCAGGCAACCATGTCAGATCAATCAGTCAAATGGAGAAGAAAATGTAGGTGGATGCCGCCCTTAATTTTGACCCAAATATACCTAATTTGCATAAATTGGTAATCCCTGCCGTGTAATATATTTATTCTGATATATATCTGGTATATTTTTTTTATTTCATTTTGAAAAGTTTATTTTGTTGATTCTACTTACATACCCTTATTAGGCCAAAAAAAAAAAGTCTCCGGTTTCTGGTATGCGCGCGCGTCGCCGTAGCCATGCGCGTCGGCAAAATGAAAAAGTTTTTTTTTCAATACAAGATGATGTTTCAAAACCGCCAAACTCACTGGTTTGACTGGAATTCTGCTGCTGCACAATTTTAACGTGTTTTTAGATGGGGTTATGATCGAGAATAAGATTTATGTGGCCTCTCTGGACTCCCATATATTTGCACTAAGTTTAGGCGGGCACCGTTTGAAGTCATCAGCCAACATTTGAAGCAAAAAAAAAAAAAAAAAAACAGGTAAAAAAAAAAAAAAAGCCGCGTCGCCGCACCACTTTTGGGGCAAGCTCCATACCAGAAACCGAAGACTTTTTTTTTGGCCTTAGGCATTAACACAATTATAACCTTTGGCTAAAGCAATGATACAATTTAGTACCGGTATGTTTAATGTTAAAAAACTAACCAGAGACAAACTAAACATTGACTAAGGCCAAAAAAAAAAGTCTCCGGTTTCTGGTTTGCGCGCGCGTCGCCGTAGCCATGCGCGTCGGCAAAATGAAAAAGTTTTTTTTTTCAATAAAAGATGATGTCTCAAAACCGCCAAACTCACTGGTTTGACTGGAATTCTGCTGCAGCACAGTTTAAACGTGTTTTTAGATGGGGGTATGATCGAGAATAAGCTTTATGTGGACTCTCTGGACTCCCGTACATTTTGCACTAA